TGTAAAAATATATTTAGACTCACATGAAAACCTAACAATATCAAAAGACTTAAACTTAAGTGCCTCGGTTGCAGCTTTACCCGTGGACATGGAATTCTAAAAGTGATAAATTGATTTTGTATAAATTTTAGATATACAATCCAAAACAGCACAAAGTCAGATGAGGGTTGCAAGAATTTTGAAGATTTGACACACTTTCTACACCCACATTCCTTAGAGGGGCCAGCCAGCACATGGAATGCTAAGCCAACGAGTGGGCATGCATTCCCTTGGGGATCTTCCTTCTACTACCTCCAAGAATTGATGCTACCATGTCTATCACTCAAGTATAAAAAAGAAATTACCCTTTGTTGGTAAAGTCTATGATCTGGTGTTGGGGCTGTTAGAATTGAAGCCAGTGATGATATAAAACAATATTTGTGCAAGACTAGGCTAAACTTTGTAAACTAGGATATTTTTAACATTAATGCAAATAGAGAAGGAAAATTGTGTTGTGACAATATTTCAAAAACAGAACCTGTTTCTTAAAAAAATTGGTCTTCAGAATCCTTTTTTAGCTGGATATATACTATTGAGACTAGAAATATATTACTTCAGCCACTATACAGTTATATATATATATATATAGGTTCATAACCATTTTCGATTCTCACTCATCGAAGTGCAGTTGAAATGCACTGAAACAAAGTTGCTCTTTGTAGCGAGTAAAATGGTTTTGTCTATATGATAAAATTATAATAAATAAATAATTATCGCTCTACTATCGGTATCGAGCCCTCTTTTGGATTAATGCTGTGAACGTTGGAATTTACATATTACTTTTGTTCTCATCACATTGTGTGTGTATATATATATATATATATATATATATATATATATATAGAGAGAGAGAGAGAGAGTGAGTGAGTGACATTCATATAAAAAAAATTATATCACTGATAAAAAATACAAATATAAACATGTGAATTTACTTTAAATGATTTTTTTTTTTAACCTGATTGTAGTATTGTATGCAAATTAGATAGACAAGTATAAATAGAGAACAACTGGTGAACATGGGAGCCATACCTAGCAAACCCAGTTCCTATTCAGGACATGGAGAACTGTACTACTACTACTATGCAGAGAGATATGCAAAACATTGATATTATTTCTTATTACTATAAAAGTTACTTTTAATGGTTACACATGTTTGAATTGCTATCATTGTTTTTTTTTTTAATTTCTGAAACAGTGAAATTAATAACAATCGGCCTAGATTTAGAAATCTAAAGAAAAATGGGTCTCCCAACAGTAATTTAACCTTTATCACTTTTTACATCTATAGCCCAAGTGTGGTGTTACCAATTTCATCGCAGAAGACCATCTTGATAAAGCAAATCTCAATTACCTGTTGAAAGAAATGCACACCTCTTGTTAAATAGGTGAAAGAACTATTTTATCAAGATGGTCTCCTGTGACCCAATTGGTAATAGTATGCTCCAGCTATAGGAATGGTTTCTCTGGTAGAAAGGAGATACAGGTACAATTCTTGTTGGTAGAATTTTTTTATATAAATTTCATGGTTTAAAAAAAAAACAAAAAAAAAACAGGGATATCAACTCAAACACATGGACCCAGTAAAAATAACATAAAAAATGATAGGCATTTATATAAAAACATAATTATTTTTTGTTTTTTATTAAGAAATATGCATAAAAACAAAAAGCACAAATTCTAAAAAAAAAAATAAAAATAAAAAAATAAAAAATAAGTAAAATAAAAGGCATTAATTTATCTCTTACTTTTTTTAAAGATTTAAAAAAATATTGCAGGCATAAATAAAAACAATTTTACACATAAAACAAATAAAAAGCAATAATATAAAACAAGTGTTCATTTGAAAAACAAGTTGTGTTCAAAAAGCAGATAGGGATGCAAGGTTTTAGATGAATGCCATTCTTGACTAGATAGCATTAGAATGGGTGTAGTCATTCCATCAGAACTGGTTTTAACTATAAAAGCAATGCAGTTACTAGAGGCAAGAGGATGGTAGAAAAAATGGGAGATCGGGGGGGGGGGACATACAAATATTTAATTAATCCTTCTCTTGCACTTTGTGTATCCCAAATTTGATCTTCAGCTAATGATTCCAAACACTTCCCAAGTTAGAAATACCAATATTTTCTCAGGTTCTATTAGTCATATCATTTTTGGAGGAGAGAATTAAAATTTGAATTATGTTAGATATGAAACAGATTTTTGTTAAGATTCTTTATAAACACAAAAGTTGCCAATGGTGGGTCACCTGAGAACACTTATTCTTATTATCTGACATGACCCATCAATGCCCACTAATTAGAAATAGCAATTTCATTACTTTTAGGAACAACTCTTTCTTACACATTAATTATATTGATGAAAATTCTAGATTATTCATTTAAATGATATAATAATGCAATAGCAGAATTATGTAAATATTGCCACCATGTTTTGATTATCTGCATAGACTAGTATATTTCCTAATGTGTGCCACAGACATCAAAATAATTGCATTGAAAAAGTACAATCCATGAGTCAGTCATTCAGGCAGCAATCTATTCAAACACCAAGAGATGAATACAAAATTTTCTAAACCACATGTTTTTTTTTTTATAAAAAGAAATCAATCTGCCTGTGACCCAAATTATTTACAGGCATAAAGTTAATTGTTAATAATAAAAAAAGACAAAAAAAAAAAAAAACTAACAGATGTAGCAATTGTTACAGTGTGTGAGTTTATTCAGACTAATATCCTCATCTTTGTTCCTTTCACTAAATTTTGTCTGGTTTAACTTTCATCCTGCTTTATATGAACATGGCATTTGAATATTTAATTCTATCGACCAAATATCATATTTACTTAACAGCAACAAAAAAGAGGACTTCTGTCTGAATTTCTGGGATGAGGAGTTATTTATTTTTACGCTAAATTCCTTTTAATGTGAAATACAAGGTCTGTTTTGAAAACAGACAATCACAATATTAACAAAAATACAGTTTAACAATGTGTTGTAGCCTAGGGAAGGTTACTGAATTGAATAATCAAACGAAGGTTGGTAATGAATGATAATACTTAGGACAAGAATAACACGCAAGATTCGCTAGCAGCATGTAGAATTAGTAGTCAACTGCTAGAAGTAAGTCAAGTGAATTCCACAATGAATCTCCAACTGCAGACCAACATACAGTATCTACTACTGTATTTACGTGAATGGGGACATACCCATTATTGTCCATAGATATACTACAACACAATGACACTCCAGTTTGGATGTGGTTATTTTTAGCTTGACAAAAACAAAGGCTACACAGTGGTTCAAATCTAGACTACAGTGGAACTGACATACCTAGATGATATCAAAAAAGCCTGCATTAGACTTGAAAGATAGGCAGGCATATTGTTGTTGTGTCTTGATGAATTTCAGGATTAATTACTTTGGTGGCATACTAATTATGAGTTTAATCCCTGGACTGTTTAGTACAAACTCATTATAAGCGAAAACAGGACTGGCAGTAATAATAATAATTAAAAAAAAAAAAAAAAACTAGATGAAATATCCCAAAACATGAACAGTGGGATGAGAGTAATCTCCCCTTGTAGATTATATAAAGGGTTCACTGACTGATTTCTTTTCTGCAACTTAACCATTTACAGGTTATTTAAAGCCAGAAAATATTTTTAGAGTGTAAGAATTTTTTTTTTTTGAGATAATGGTTTAGGGATACAAGTTTTGCTAATTAACCCATAGCTGGAGGGAGAAGATGTGGATTCATACTTTCCCCAAGGGTATAAATATAACAAATCCAACAAGAATTGGAACTCGGCTCTCCAATTAACAATTCCAAGCCATTATCCATTACACCACCCACACATCGAAGCTTACAGCACATGGTATTCCCAAGCGGTCACCCATCTAAGCACTAACCATGTTCAATGTTGTTTAACTTTGGTGATTGTATTGGAACTGGTGTTTCAAGATGGTGGGGTTATAAGCCATAAAGGATTCAGTTCACAATTCCTTGAAAGTTACTCAGATTGAAAGACATTTGTGGAAAGCTAGAAGACTTACAGACAAAATCTTGTTGGTTGATTTTGTTTAGCAGCATGTCAATACCTCTATGGGTTATTTAATGCTAAAATTTAAATATTTTGAATACAATTTTATGGCTTCAACTAAATATATTTTTAATGTAATTGTCTGCTTTCAACTACAAATAAAATGAATTGTTGGTAATTTTTTATATAAAAACATTGCCAGTAATTTTACTATAAAAACATATCTTTTATGCTTTCATAGTATTTTGTTTTTGTTTTCACTATTTACCCATAGCTAACAGGTGCTACCAGCCTGGATCAGAGCGGACCTGGCAACAACAGCAATTAAGAGGTGTTTCCACACTCCTCAAAACCTCCAATCTTTTGATCAGAGGCCTTGCTGCTGGATGTAGTTTATCATCATACACAGGACTTAAAGATGAGGACATTAGTTCAAATATAAACAATTTTAAAAAGAACGGGTAATTATAATAAAGTATTGTAAAACACCAGTCTGGAAAGTATTGGTTTCTACTTGTATAATTTGCCATAAGAGTTAAAGAAATATATTTTTGTCATTCAGAATTACTTTTTTTTTTTTTTTAAAATACATCCTGACAGTATAAAAATGCTTTTCATATGAAGACTAAAAAGATGAAATAATGGTTTTACTTTCCAGTGTTATTATTCCTGAAATTTGTAAAAGTATTAACAAGTCTTTACACCTAGAGAAAATTATTTGTTAATAAGCATTTAAATTGCTAAAAGTAGCAAGAGAGGGATTAAGTAAAATAAAAGAGGTAGTTCCCACCCTTAAGTCAATTTTTTTTTCTTTTTTTTTTTTTGGCTGGGGGTGTCTCTTGGATATAGCAGGTAAAATGAGCAGGAGATTTACACAGTGTTGGCCACAAAACTATATGGTGTATAATTTGAACTATTAGGTGTGGTTGTAGCTTGACTTTTAGATATGAAGTTAACACATCTAGATGCCATTTTGTTTACAAAATGATGCCTTCATCATATCCATTTCATACATTTTTTTTTCTTTTATGCAAAAAAAAAAAAAAAAAAAAAAAAAAATCAACCTTTAGTGAATTCTTCAATTTTCTTCAGAATGACATTTCGTAAAAAGTAACAAGAATACAACTAACATTTTGACTAAGAGTCATACAGAGTATTTCTGAAAACAGTTATACCATGTAACATTGGTATATCAAGAGAAAATTTTTGGATTTAAATCAAATGACCAATGTTATCAAAAACATGATTTGTGTATAAACAAAAAAAAATATCAGAAAAATTAAATCTACACTCAAATAAAATAACCATTTAATGATAGAAAAGTGTTTATAAACTCCTTGGGTGAATAACTTATTCAGGACAAAATGACAAACTGTCAAATGTATTTGTAGAGTCATCCATAATTCATTCTAATTTCAAAATAAAAGAGAAAAATGAAATCTTTCAGTTCATCAAGTAAGATCTATTTAAATTTCATGTGATGGTAAGAATTTTACATCAAATCAGATTGTATCTTGAGGTCTTTTAATTTGAAGAATTTTACAAGCATATTAATATAGCCAATAATGAGCACTACAAACAGTATAGAATGACGATTTTCAAAATAAAACAAAAATAAGTGAAAAATCTTAAACAAGAAAATATTACTACTTAAAAAAAAAAAAAAAAAAAAAAAAAAAAAAAAAAACAAAATCAATTGAAAAGTCATAAAATGCTTTATGTTCATTAAATAGAATGAAACCAAAAAAGAGAAACCCCTAAACTACAAAGTTATCTCCAGTGAATATATCTTGTAAAAGTTCCAGCACTGTTTCATGAAAACATGTAGACTGAATGTGTGATACTGTGGACACCCACATAGAAAAGATGATATGGTTTTATCTAAAGTGTTTCTCTTTGATAGCCAGCAAGTAATTCCTATTTTTTTTTTTTTTTAGTCTAGTTTGCTAATCAGTATCCCCTTTAACTAAAGGTGAACAAGGAAGTAAAGTAGCGAATAGGGTGTATCTGGGCCAGTTAGTTATGTACCATACATGATACATGCTTCGGTGATTATGCATCTTTCGATGCATAACTGATGAGGTTGAATTAATTTTTCATTTTAAATCTGGTATATTTAAGTATTGTAAACATCAGTACTTCTATATGACAGTAAATCGTGGACAATCTCCTCATTGGATGAAGATGAAGAAACTTAAAGCAATAGAAATGTGGCTATACAGAAAGGTGCTGAGAATACCATGGACCGAACATGTGGGCAATGATGAAGTTCTAGAGACAATGGAAACAAAAAGGACACTTATAATTAACATCAAGAAGAGAGAGTTGAAATTTCTACAGCACATGAGGAAAGAAGGCTTAGAAAATTTTACACTCACAGGATATATTGAAATCAGAAAGGACAGGAAAGCAGATCATAACCTACATAGCAAGCTTGTGTAAATGGTTGGCAGAACAGAGATTAGAAGAGATAGTGAAAAGATATAATTTATTACAAACTACAAAGGACAGGAAATTGTGGAGAGCCATAATTCTTACACCTGTCCTTTTAGGAATATGGAACATAATATCAGATAGACATATCCATGTGGTACGTGGAACTAGAACAATCTACCCCATTGGAATAAACAAAGGGTTTAGTTCAAAAGTTCAATGTATATCACCTGAAGAAGGCCAGAATGTATAATGGCCAAAACGTGGTGAATAAAGATGAGGAAAACAAGCTGAAAAATGTAAATAGTTACAATAACTCATCTAAGAGATATAGACAGGTGTAGATATATCCAGTTGATTAAATTTGTGCCTGGTTTGAAGAGTTATCAAAAAGCATGGAGAAATACAAGTAGTTGTTGATAGTTTCTTTTCAGTGACTGATTATAAACAAAATATAGATAAGTACTTAAAACAAAATAAGTAAATTTACCAATTAAATGATCTTGTCATTTAGAATTTGTTACTTAGCGCTTTCATTTTTATGTACAACTTTAGTTGAATTACAAATATAGCACATTATTCAATTATATGCAAATAAAAAATATCTCCAATATTTGTCCAAGAGCAACCATTTAAATATTATTTACGGTTCTATGGTTGTTTCCATTTAGTCACTTATATACAAAACTTATACAAGTTAAAGCATGAATTCACTTAATTATTAAAAGCAGAAATGTATATCCCTTACATAAGGTTACAAACCATTTTCAACATGATACCACTTGTATAGTTAATTCAAAATTATAAGATCTACTTCAACTACAAAATACAAAAAAATAAAAAAAAAAAAAAAAAAAATAAAAAAATAAATAAAAATAAATAAAAATAAATAAAAATAAATAAAAATGACAGGTGAAAGAACCTTTCTCAACGGGACCATTGACAAAGTTCCAGAAAGATGTTTAAAAGTAGTTGAATAAAAAAATAAAAAAATTATGAATTATTTCTCCACAAATTTAATCCATTTTAGAAAACAAATACAGAATATATTCAAGAAACTTAAAAACTACTCCACTATCTTTTCCAAGAACAATCATGGCAATTTACAGTTTTTCTTTTTATTAAAAGAAAAAGGAACTTGTGGAGCACCATGATCACCTACATCCTGAAAAAACATAATCCCTAAAGAGGAGGACTTAACATTTGAGTTGAGAGTGAACATTGGACAAAATTGATAATAGATGGGCTAAATATCTCCTGATATTCTTAGAAATGACATTAATTTTCCTTCTCCAACAGTCCCAACACCAGTCATCTTAAATACTCATTAGCAATATAGTGAGGGTGATATTACAAGAGGCCCCTTACTACAACTACAGACATATTTTGTTTTAGTGAAAGCATTAAGTGAAACATCACCATATGACTTTATAATTGTTCACTTGATTTTTTATTGCCAGTTATCTTGACCTCAATATATAAATATTATCTATATTCGATTCAATAAGACTACTGCATCTCTTAGCTGGTAGTTTTCAATCATTCTTCTATTTAGAATCTTTTTATTACTTTCAGATAATCCCATTTCATTGAGCAAAAAGAAAACATTTTGGTGAAATCTATTCTGCCTTTTCTTCAAGAGTAGAGACCCCCCTCCCAACTACAATCAATCCAAAAGTACATGTACATCTCTTCCAGCATTCTTCAAATCGTTCTGGATATCATTTATGCTTGAGTTCAGAGTGAATGAAACTTTTGTGATTCCAGAGAGTTCTAGCATTGAAATTCTTCCTTAGATAACCAAATGTTACATATGTTCCAGTACCAATTTCTTTCCATTTATGAATGATGAATAAAACAGTGGAACAGAGGTTATGAAAACACTTTGACATTTTCTTACAGACTCCCCCAGACGGATAAATAGTAGGCAATTATTTTTCCAGTTCTTTGAATAGCCTTTGATTTTTCATTATATATTAAAAAAAATAAATAAATTCATGAGGGTTTAATTTAAAAAAAAAAAAAAAAAAAAAATTATTCATGCTTTCTAAATTTATGATTAGCATAAGAAAGATTCTAATTTTAGCTGCTGGCTTGACTTAAATAACTGCCAAATTGATATTTTTAACCATGCAAAAGTTATTATTGCTAATTTTGAAAATAAAATAACATCAATTTACATATCAAAATGATTTGCTAATGTTAATTAAGTAAATAACTATCAGGAAATCATATTCAGAATGATTAAATCAGAGTGAAAAGTGACGAGAAAGAGGTAAAAGTGGACAGACAATGGGGGCAAGAAGTAGAAAGAGAGAATGAAAGCAAACACGGAGGGGGAAGGGAAAAGAGAGAGAGAGAGAGAGAGAGAAGGAAGAAGAGTGAAAGAGAGAGAGAGGAAAGAGAGAGAGAGAGAGAGAAAAGAAAGAATCGGAGAGAGAGAGAGAGAGGAAAGAAAGAATCGGAGAGGAGAGAGAGAGAAAGAAAGAAGAGAGGAGAGAGAAAGAAAGAATCGAGAGAGAGAGAGGAAAGAAGAATCGGAGAGAGAGAGAGAGAAAGAAAGAATCGAAGAGAGAGAGGAAAGAAAGAATCGGAGAGAGAGAGAGAGAGTGAAAGAAAGAATCGGAGAGAGAGAGAGAGTGAAAGAAAGAATCGGAGAGAGAGAGAGAGAGTGAAAGAAAGAATCGGAGAGAGAGAGAGAGTGAAAGAAAGAATCGGAGAGAGAGAGAAAGGAAATGGAGAGAGAGAGAGAGAGAAAGAAAGAAGGGAGAGAGAGAGAGAAAGAAAGAAGGGAGAGAGAGAGAGAAAGAAAGAAGGGAGAGAGAGAGAGAAAGAAAGAAGGGAGAGAGAGAGAGAGAGAGAAAGAAAGAATCGGAGAGAGAGAGAAAGAGGAGAGAGAGAGAAAAGAAGGAGAGAGAGAGAGAGAGAGAAAGAAGGAGAGAGAGAGAAGAGAGAGCTAGAGAAGGAGAGAGAGCGAAAGAAGAGAGAGAGAGAGCGGAGAGAGAGCAGAGAAGGGAGAGAGAGCGAGAGAAGGAGAGAGCAAGAGAAGAGAGAGAGAGAAGAGAGCGGAGAAGAGAGAGAGAGAGAGCGAAAGAAGCGGAGAGAGAGCGAAAGAAGCGGAGAGAGAGCGAAAGAAGCGGAGAGAGAGCGAGTGAAAGAAGCGGAGAGAGAGAGTGGATTAAAATGTTGTTTCATGACTTTGATGACATAATAATTGGGAGTTCATTCCCTGGACCAAATAGTTCAGCCTTAGATTTAAGTACTGAGAAGTACAAAATAAGAACAAGATATCCCTAGATGTGGTCATCAAAACAAGAACAATTTACACCTGTAGATTAAAATAAAGGGTTAAGTTCAAAATTCTTTAAAGGTTACACGGATGAACAATCACCTGAGGAAGGCCAGTGGCCATAATGACCGAAACACTGTGATAACAACAATGATGAGGACAACAGTCTAAGTGTAAATAATGTAAATAATGATAACTCCTCATTCCAGAATTTTAGACAGAAATAAATTACCAGTTTGAACAGATTTTGCCCTCAATACAACCCAAGTTATTCAACAAGCAGTTTAAAAAACACCCTTTTACGTATAGAAAGTAGCATTTAAATATAATTGTTTTTCTTTTTTTTTTTCTTTCTTTCTTTAAATGAAAAGTAAACTTAAGTTATGTACCAGCTCGGTATGTTTGTGGTTGTAAGTTTTGTGACGTTACAGGACTTTGGGAACCTCCTCCTCCGCGTGCACGTGGTTGTAAGGCAGGTGGTAGTTTGGGTGATGGTGGTTGTCGAACATCCTGTACACAAAGATAAGAAAAATCCTGCTCCAAACCTTGGTTTGCCATTTTGGTCCCTCAACCTAAAAAAGAAAAAAAAAAAAATATTTAGACTACAACTGCAAGCCTATATACCAAACTGGATAATTGAAATTGTTTTTAATAATTATTAGGAATTCTTTTAATGTAATATATTACAAATAAAATTAAAAAAAAAAAAAAAAAAAAATTTTTTTTTTCCTTAGTCATTTCACCCAAGGCAAGCAGGAATGCCAGTAGTACATAGGTTACAAGGAGTGAAAGTGAGAGAAAAGACTAAGTATAGGGAGGATTGAGGAAAGGACAAAAGATGAACAGAATTCAAGAAGACAGAAAATGGCAACTGATGTTGCCTTTAAATTTCTGAAGATTGTAGTTATCAGGAAAGCAAGTAAATCAAAGAGAGTTCCACAGGTGGGAAGTTCAAGAAAAGAAACTGTTGGAGTAGAAATGGCAGTTGCATTTTGCTATTTCAACAGTAAAAGGGTGGGACCTACATGGCAATCTAGTAGCACACTTAAATTTATGAAGTTGGAGTACAAAGAAAAAAAGCTTGTCAGAGCAGTTGCTATAAAAATATTTATAGAAAAGACAGAGGGAAGCCACATCACATCAGTGAGAAAGTGACTGAAGTCAAGATGCCTGGTCAGGATAGGTTACATTACAAATCCTTCTTTGGATTTTGTCAAAAACCGAGAGATGAATAGCAGGAGCACCAGACCAGATATGGCAACAGTATTCAATGTTTAATATTTAATTACTATATTTCTCATATGAGAAAATGTAAAATCTTTTTTAAAATAATTTTTTTAAAATTCACCTTACACCTTCATCTCTGAAACAAAATATTAGATTGTTTATAACCACAAAACCTTTTTTTTTTAATGCCTTTTTCCTTCAGACACGGATCATGGCTCTCCACATATTCCTTTTTCTTTATTATCTGTGAATTAATCTGAATTTTGGGGAAAGACAGCGGTTTCCTGTTGTCTTCAGTTTTGGAATTCCAAGAACCTAGAATACCCAGCTATTTAACCCATAGCTAAAAGTAGAAGTGATGTTTTTATGCTTTTCTCCAAGGGGATTAGTGCAAATGAATTAGTGCAAATGAGAATAGAACTTTAATTCAACTTAATTCCTACACCAATAAAGAGTTATGCTACCACACATCCTATATACCTAATTATAAAAAGAACTAGCTGAAGTAGCAGTCTACATAGAGTAAGAAGTTAAACCTAGTTAGAATGACAGAAAAACAATTCCTTACTTCAGATGATAAAGACTTCTGCCAAAATAATCATCCCAAAAATTCAGACCAAAACAAAAATACTTCTTGTAACCAAATGGTTACAAATAATATTTGCTACTAAGGCAGATATATTGTCATAGAGCAACAAAATCTCTTTTGAAGCAAGGTATACCAAATCTGATAGATATATACATCAAGTTATTTGGTCATGTATAGCATATAGACAAACTCTTCATAATTATATATAGATGTGTGCCAGGTACTTGAGAATATATACTGTGTAGGCAAAAAATGCAAGATAACCTAAAAATGTTACCCATCATGCACCAAATTTTATATTTTCTTATTTCTCTTTCAGAGATATCAAGAGCATTAACATGGCATCTTCCAATGAGACATAACTGAAAAAGGCACATCATGGCCAGTGTTGTTAACCAGTGGTAACAATCTTTTGGGGAAAAATACAGTCGACTCCACACAGAGCTACCCAAGCTGATGCAAACCATATTGTTCCTGGAAGTTGTGAGCAACAAGGGGTATATCATACTATCTCACTTCTTCCCACAAAACTTTAGAGTCATTGCCACCATCTACAGAGTTGTTGGACAAGCTCTGAATTGGGAGTACATCTTCCAGCAGGACTGCTCCCTCCCACATGGTCCATTAGTCGCAGCAGAGAATTTTCACAATGTCACCCACCCATCAACATATGGCCTCTTACCTCTCCTAATTTGAATCTCTTAAACTACTATGTGCTGGCTGTCATCAAGAGGAAGACCATCCAGCAGCCTCAAAATACCAAGGACACATTGAAGGCTCCCCATTTTGAATGTGATGACCAACTGATTTGGGTATGCAATTACTCTTGAGGTTGCATTGAGGCTACCCTCAAAGCTTAGGGTAGATTTATTGAATAATCTTTTTACTGTTTTTCTAAGTTAAACATGTGTACAAATTTCATAAAAAATGGTTTCCTTTATTTTAAAATTTATTCTGAAGTACAAGATGCACCCTGTAATGATCATTGGATGGATGCTGAAGATTGATATAAAATCCTATATCATATGAAAGGACAGACTGTATAAATTATTTAGACAAGTTTGTTTTGTTGGTTTAATGGCATATCAACTCCTTATATGTCATTTAATGCTAAAATTTAATTTTCTTGGAAACTTTGAAGTAGTAAATATATGTTATGTTATTCTGTTTTCACAACTGAATACATGGTAGATGATACTTAGCTTTTGTGCATATACATGTTTGGTGTGGACATAATTACTAGGTTCAGTGATATGTGTGTTTTATGTTGTAGTTTTGTTGAAGTTATATTTCGGAATACAGTTTGATTTCTTGAAGAGATTGTGGGATATTATATGGATTAAGATCATAAAAGAATTCTTTGATGTTGGTTGTTTGGTTGATTTTGTTTATTGGCATATCAACCTCTACGGGTTATTTAATATCAAAATCTAAATATTTTGAATACAATTTTATGGCTTAAACTACAGGTAAAATGTATTTTGGTCATTGTGCTATATAATGTATTACTGGTCCTTTTTTTTTTTTTTTTTTTTTTAAGTATAATAATGTATTGCTGGTAATTTTACTATAAAAATATATTTTTATACTCTCATAGTGCTTTGTTTGGGGTTTCACTATTTGCCCATAGCTAGGACCCTAACAGGTGCTACCACCAGCAGTTAAGAGTTGGTTCCACACTCCTTAAAACCTCCAATCTCCCAATCAGAGACCTTGTTGCTGGATGGATGCAATTTATCATCATACCCAGGATTAGGCCTGGTAAAGGATGGACTGCATAAAGTACTTAGTCCAATATTTATTCAATTTCCCTGTAAATGGTGCTTCTTGCATTCTACCTATGATTTAATAAAACATTTCCATGACAAAAGAATGAACCACTTGTATTTTCCATTTCTCAGCTAACGTAGAAAAAAATGTTTGGAAATCCAAACAGAAAATCTCAAAAGAATAAAAAGGAAAAACAACATATTGAAAATAGATTCATTAATTCATACATAATTCATTTTGAGGAATTTCTTTTCAGTTAATCTATTCTTCGGATAAACAAATTAACCACGTGGAATTGGAATAAGGAAATATATTTTCTAATGAGTTTTTAGCTTGATTTCACCATTCCAAGAATGGAATCAACTGAAAATGTTTTGAAAAAAGAAAAAAATTTGAAATGACAATAGTAAGGTTAAAACACCTTTTTTTTTTTGTCAAAGAATATTCCTAAAATACCCTTTTGTCGGAATCAATAAAACTTGCAATTTTTTTTTTTTTCATTAACAGAAAAAAAAAAAAAAAAACAGAATTACAATGTTCTTTTAACTTTTGTGATATCCGATTGTTCAATAAAGAAACAACGAAAATCAAGTCTGACAAAATTTTCTTTTTATTCATTTGTAAATGAATTTCTTTTTTTTTTTTTTTTATTCAATACTAGTTCAGTACCTGTTACATTGCTGACAAGAAAATGATCAAGTTTCAAATTAGAAAATATATTGTTGAAATACAGTAATCATAGAACTGCCTTCAAAGGGCCATATATTTTAGCTTAGACTCTTTTCACCATAACTCCGGGGTTGTTGCCAGACAGTAAAGGAAATTAGCCCTCTCAACACCAATGTCCATTCATGCGTATACTTGTGAAAACAACAGAAAAGATCAATCACTTATGTGCCATGCGTGACATCCTTAGGTGATCATGTATCTTCTGATACATAATTGATGACTCAGATTTTTTTCCCCACACTAGGTTGCCATTTCTTTCTGCAGTAGACCAGTTGCCATCCAAGGCTATAGAACCTGGTCTGCCCTGCTATTTACTTGGGGGAGAAGAAGAGCATTCATACCTTTCTCAAGGGTATTAGCAGATAAATGAATGTAATGGATCTGACTGGAATTTGAACTCGGCTCTCCGATTTCTCAATTGGAGCCACTATCCATTAATCCACCATGCCTCCTAGAAAAGATACTAAACTAAAAAAATATTTCAATGAAAGTATGATGACTAAAAATATCAAAAAACTAATGTAAAGATATAACATGTAAGAGGAAGGCAGATAGATACTTGAAACCAAACATAGATGAACAATGAAAGAAAAAGAAATAAAACTGATGTATGACCAGTGCAAATATGGATTTACTAGAAGACAAGCATTACAAAAGCAGTTTCATCAGTCTTTGTAATTTTAGATTTTAAAACATAAGCATATAAACATTTCTCTGGTCTATTCATTAATCTCTTGCTTATTAATTCAATAGATATAGGATCATGATGCAATTCTACACATGGGGGTAAAAAAAAAAAAAAAAAATAAACCAACACACAATAATTGATTGGAATGCAAACATGAAACTTATATAACCAAGTGATCAGATCACATTCCGTGTTATTTTCAAATGCATTAAACCAGAAATTTTTATAATTCATAAGGATAGAAAAGGAAATTTATTCCAGTTGGATTTAATAAAAATAAACAAATCCAGTTGAGATATATGAGGAGCAGTGAGCCATTTAATTTAAAATTCATTAGTTATGAAGATGGAAAAGAGGGGGAATGAGAGAGAGAGAGCGAAGAAGAGAGAGCGAAGAGAGAGAGAAGAGAAGAGAGAGAAGAGAGAAGAGAGAGAGAGAGAGAGAAGGAGAGAGAGAGAGAGAGAGAGAGAGAGAAGAGAGAAGAGAGAGAGAGAGAGAAGGCTAGAGAGAGAGAAGAAGAGAGAGAAGAGAGAGAGAGAAGAGAGAGAGAGAGAGAGAAGAAGAGAGAGCGAGAGAAGAAGAGAGAGCGAGAGAGAGAGAGAGCGAAGAAGAGAGAGAGAGAGCGGAAGAAAGAGAGAGCGAAGAAAAGAGAGAGCGCGCGAAGAAAAGAGAGAGCGAGAGAGAGCGCTAAAAGAGAGAGAGAGAGAGAAGAAAAGAGAGAGAGAGAGAGCGCAAGAAAAGAGAGAGCGAGAGAGCGAAAAAGAGAGAGAAGAGAGAGCGAAAAGAGAGAGAGCGAGAGAGCGCAAGAAAGAGAGAGCTAGAGAGAAGAAAAGAAAGAGAGAGAGAGAGAGAGCGAGAGAGAGCGGGAAGAAAGAGAGAGAGAGAGAGAGCCAAGAAAAGAGAGAGCGAGAGAGAGAAGAAAAGAGAGAGAGAGAGAGCTAAGAAAAGAGAGAGAGAGAGAGAGAAGAAAAGAGAGCGAGAGAGAGCGCGAAGAAAAGAGAGAGCGAGAGAGAGCGAGAAGAAAAGAGAGAGCGAGAGAGAGGAGAAGAAAAGAGAGAGCGAGAGAGAGAAGAAAAGAGAGAGCAAAGGAAAAAAAGAGAGAGCGAGAGAAAAAAAAAAGAGAGCGAGAGAGAGAGAAGAAAAGAGAGAGCGAGAGCAAAGGAAAAGAGAGAGCGAGAGAAAAAAAAAAAGAGCGAGCAAGAGCGAGAGAAAAAAGAAAAAGAGCGAGAGAGAAAGTGACAGAGACAGCATAGGGATTTTACTCTAAAGAAAAATCATTACAAATATCCTTGTTCAAATCAAAGAAACATTGTTTATAACAAGCAATAATTTGTTCTTTCAACAAGAAAGTTCTAACTTACAAAAGTAGTTTCTGGAAAACATCTATCAAATTACTGAGCAAAGTGTTTTTTTTTTTATATTCAAGAATAAAAATGATAAATAAAAATAAAATAATTAGGGAACTAAATAGTTAGATTATTCTTGCTTACATTTTTTTTTTTTTTTGTATAAAACATTCAATCTCAACACCACTAACACAATGTGTTATTTATTAATTTTAACTTACTAAATTATTGTTCAATTTCGCTTCATTACTATCCAGTGTATATTTGTGATTGATTGTATTTTAGGCTTTTTTTTTTTTTTGAGATAATGATTTTTACTTATACAAGTTCTACTAATTAACCCATAGCTAGGGCAAGAAGAAGTGGATTAATATCTTTCCGAAGGGTATTTGCGAGTAAGTAAATATAATGAACCAAACTGGAATTCAAACTCAGCTTTATAATTTCAATTTGTTTTTTTTAATAATTTCACCCTAAGCAAGTCAATAAAGCCACTAAGATGCAAGGGTGTTATTGAATGTTAGAGAATATGAGAAAAATATACTATAGAGTTGAGAACAATAAAAAGGAATAAGAATTAAGACAGTAGATAACAACTTACATTTTTGAAGATCAAAGTTGACTGGAAAGCAAGAAGCCAGAAGAGAGTTCCACAAGCGAGAAGTGCAATAGAAGAAACTATTAGCATAGAACTTAGTTACATCTAGCCATTTCAGCTATAAAATGATGGAACCTTGACACCAATCTAGTACTGTACTTAAATTCATAAAGTCTAGGTACCATAGAGAAAAGTCTATTAGAACAATTACCATGAAAGTATGTGTAGAAAAAGCACAAGAAAGCTATGTTATGACAGTGACTGAAAGCAAGATTCCAGGTCAAGAGCAAAAACATTGCAGATTCTTCTTTGTATTTTATCAAGAATCTCTAAATATATAGCAGGAGCACCAGACCATATGTGGCAGCAATATTCAAAACAAGGATGGTAGACTTATAAATATGTATAATAGATTCTGGCAATAAAAATTGTCTGCCTTATCATAGTGAACCGACTTTCCTAGCTGCAGACTTAGCAATTGATTCAATAGAATCTTTCCACTTCATACCAGCTGAAAATGTTAGTCCAAGAAGGCACAATGGGCTACTCTCCTAGAGGTTAGCATCAGCTATACGGATGGAAGGTTAAAAGGGTTTTCAACATTCCAAGCCATTATTCATTACATCAACTGCACATCCAAACTTACAGCACCTGGTATTCCCTAGCAGTCACTCATCTAGATACTGACCAGGCTCAATGTTGCTTAACTTCAGTGATCATACAAGAACTGGAGTTTCAACATGATATAGCTGTAAGCTGTCTAATTTTGTGAATTTGGAAAAAATAAAATTCTCAAGTGCAACAAGAGAAAATTACAGTCTTCATCCTGAAGATGATGCAAACAGACATTGAAACATTAACAAAATTATCCTCATGCTTGTTTGTTTTGGGAATTGTTTTCAATTTCTCAAAATATAATAATCTAAGAATCAATGCCTCCTTAGCATTTATAGACAAATAGATATATTGAGCAATAGTTATTATTTCACATTTCAGGCTCATCTTTTTAATGATGACCAGGTATTCTGTCTTCTTATAGTTTATACTTAGTCCATTATTTACATTATTCAGACTATTGTCCTCATTTTTGTTGCCATATTTATTACAACGTTTCGGCTGTTGTACGCTCCGGCCTGCTTCAGGTGGTTGGAATGTTGAACTGAACCCTTTATTTCACTCACTGGGGGTAGGCTGTTCTAGTTCCACGTGCCATGTTTAATGGATGTCAGTTATCAGTTATCTCCTGTTAATTTCCCTCTGAAAGTTCTCCACTGCCTTAACTGGGTATTGAACTCACACTCTTTGGGTCCTGTCAGTGGATCTAACCAATGCCTTTATCCACTGTACCATGTGTCCTTGAGACAAAGATGAGGACAATAGTCTGAATAATGTAAATAACATACATAATACCTCATCTCAGAAATATAGACAGATACTTAGTCCCTTCTTACTCTCCATCGCTACCTTCTGTAGGAGATTTTGTAGTTTCTTTGCCTTGTCTGTGTCATCTGCATATCATTGTTGTTAAGATTGTGTCTGCCAATGCTAAATCCTGGTAGGGTTTTCAATTCTGTTGGAATTGCCTCGCTGTATAGGTTGAACAGGTCGAGTGAGAAGATGCATCCTTGCTTTATGTCCCTTTTTATTTTTGTATATTCCCTGAACTCATTCTCTATGCACATCCATGCTGTTTGCTGCCAGTATAGGTTCTTGATTATTCTGATATCTTTCCCGAATATATCAAAGTGGCTGAGCTGATCCTTGTGGTTGAAGGCCTTTGCATAGTCTATAAAACATAGGAACACTAGGAAAGCTAATAATGAAAATACACTTATTTTAAAAGCTAATAATCTCCTTTGTCAAGGTATTTAACCCGATGCCTGTCCATTAAAAATAAATCTTTAAAAATTATAGTAACAATTACAGAGCAAACTTTAGCTCATAATTGCATCAGACTACAGACTTATTGCTTGCCTTCCTCTCTCGCTCTCTGCTGTATGTAAAATTAAATCACTTATTCCTGACGTGCTTTGACTTCGTGGCTACAGAGTGCCTGATGGCCAAGCAAAGCTCAAATAGTGATTTTAAACACAGATTTTTCCCTGACTCACAAAATATACAGCTCTTCTCAGTCTTGTATCTTTATGTAAACAGCAATTTTAAGAATTAATTTTATCATTTATTAATCCAACATATTTTATTACTTAAACATTATTTTTAGTGGATACCCATATTTGAGCAGATATAATGTTTAATAAATAAACAGACTATGTATTTACTTTCATATAATAGCTTGAACATTCAAACAATACTTATTCTGAATTTCTCAGAAGTTACATCCACTCATCAGCGAAATTTTACAATCAAGTTGATGTAATCTTCATGAAGCACAGAATAAGGATAAATGAACATTTCATTTTATCTCTATTACTATTAATGATAATGAGCACTTTAATTACAAAGACTCCTTGCCTTAAAAACATCTTCCAGTAATACCATGGTCAGCGTTTTTTTTTTTTTTTTAATTAGTGTTTTTGCACAAAAGAAAAAAAAGAATCTTTGTTAGAATATCTCTCATATATATATATATATATATATATATATATATATATATATATATTAGTAGTTTCTCTTTGTTAGCAAATTCCTCCTAGGGTTTTGGAGATAGACCCCCATAACTATATATATTCTGAAGCTACATTACTCAAGATTCTTGGAGAAGTACATTTCATTTTGATCAAAGGGGGGCCCCAGGGAGCACACCTCCCCCACTGAAATTTTTTCCTCCTTTGAGTTAAATTAAGTTTGGACAAGGGAATGACTCATCCAAAATATAGGAGAAAGCCAGAAGATGGAGGTCACATCGACGAGATCAAAGTGAGACAATATGAACATCAAGAAATCAACTATCAGTGGACAGTGCTTTACAATACATATTTGTTGTAGCAATTCAACTTTCATATCAATGTTGAAATCTGTTCATCAATACATTCAATCAAGTATTGTATCAAATACATATCAAAGGAGTCAGATCAAGCTGTTTTTGCACACACACCCACTCCACTGAAAATTTGTTTCCCTTTGATTTAAATTTAAAGAAGGGAATATCTCCTATCCAAAATATAGGAGGAGAAAGCCAGAAGACAAAGGTCACATCAGCAAGATCATTGAGTAATACTGAAATATTTTTCTCCATAAATTTTAACAAGGATTTAAAATCAATCATCATTTTCTTACAAAAAAAAAAAAAAAAAAAAAAAAAATGTGTGACACACAGCAAGGCGCAAGTAATTCAGCTAGTTTTATATAAGGAGATACTGAAAAGTTCTCTGCTTCACCCACTTCCTAAAATCTGACCAAATAACCAGAGATGTTTTTGAAGGACTTCTTGATTAGAATGAGAATTTTTCAGTGTATCAAGTAAATGTGAACAAATTATAATACAAGGAAAAACAAATATAACAGAAGGGAAAAAAAAAAAAAATGAGCATAATTTTAAAAATCTTCTACACATGTTCAAGTAGGAAAAATAGAAAAACGTTTATGCAATAAAACTGCTTTCAACCTTGGTAGGCAACAATTAAATTAATAAAAAATAAATAAAATAAAAAATAAATAAATTAAAAAAAAAAAAAAAAAAAAAGAAATCCTGATGATGATGAAACTGAGATGTAGAATGAAAGAGATGCCAGCATCTTTCAGTTGCTGTGGTGGAAACACTTGTGCCCTTTAAAAACAGGGAGGCATAGTAAGCAAGAATTATGGGCGTCAGTAGTGACAAGAAGCATACATGCCAACCTTTCCTATAACTGATTGGGTAAAAAGAAAAAGGAAAAAGAAATTAAAAAAAAAAAGAATGAAGAGTAAGATAATGAATTACTGGAATTTTTACAACTTCAAAGATAAGTATTGATGTAAGCATTAAGGAGTGGTTGGGCAGTACATACAAGTGTGAAGAGCAGTCCAGCTGTAATTTAACAGGAAAGCAGTAATAGAAACAGTAATATAGACTGTTCATTTTTGTCAAACTCACTGCCTTGTGCAGAGAGGAACTCAGACGAGGCTTTCCAGCAGGACAAACTTTCGTCCGGGGAGGTAGACAGTCCCTGAACCCATTTAGGCAGGTTCTTAGGGAATATTTTTGGCTGAGCCTATGGGCTCAGAAAACCCACAGTAAACTTGGCCATATATATATATATATATAAGTGTGTGTGTGTGTGGCAATTATCAAAAATGGAGATAGAGAGATTGTGTGAGTGAGTGAGACAGAGAATATGAAAGAGTTTATAAAGTTATTCAGGGAGTAAGAACTTTACTATTTTTTTCCTTTTAAGTACAAATATGTGTTCAAAAAGAAAAAAAAAATTGATCCAAGCAAATCTACACAATCGTCATATCTGCTGAGATATAGGTGGGTGCATTTGTCACCATAAAAATCAAAAAAAGATATGAAATGATATTATCCTTTTAAAATTGGAGACTACAATGCATAGATCTCATTGTTTATAGACTTTACATTATGAAATCTGTTGTAACTTAAATAAAATCACTGCATTACTATCAGTTTTTTGCCTGGGTTAAAATTGGAGTCTTTCAGCTTTGTTTGTAAATCAAATACCAATTAATTCTGATATTTGTTGTTACAGGTCTAACTTTTACAATTCGTAAGAAAATCCTGGGCACACCCAGACAACACAATTGTAGTCAGAGGCCATTGCCAGGATACCTGTTGATGACTATCAAAGATTGGTGCTTCTCTAAGCATTAATGCAAAATTAATTTACACAGACTTTGGAAGATCTTAATACAATTTGTAACAATGTTATCTATGTCTATATTTCTGAGATGAAGTATTGTAACTATTCACAACTGTTGTCCTCATCTTTATTGTTATATTCACTGGCTTGGTTTGAAATGCCACTGTATATCACCTGAAGAAGGCAGGAGCGTACAACAGTCAAAACGTTGTGAATATGACGGCAAAGATGAAGACAACAGTCCGAACAATGTAAATAGTGTAAATAGTTACAGTACCTCATCTCTGAAATGTAGACTGTGTATATGATAAAGATGAGGACAACAGCCTGAACAATGTAAATAGTGTAAACATGTTAACTGAGTTGATAATTACCATTACGACTTAATATTTTGAAAATCTGAATACAATCTTCAAAAATTTAAATGCAATGTCAATCACCATCTTCAATCTTCTTGAATCCTGTTCAGCTTTTATCCTTTCTTCCCTCCCACTATACCCAGATTTTTCTCTCACCTTTCCTCTCTGTAACCCCCTGCATACTAGTCGCATTCCTGCTCTGCTTGGGATAAAATGATTTAAAAAAAAAAGAGAAAACATTGAAAAGATAGGTAGTTGATTAATTAAAACAGGATTTGTTCTTTCAGGGGAGTTTCTTACCACATGTGAAGGAAAAAAAGCGAGCATTTTGCCGATTTGTATTCTATTCAATTTTATTAGTCCTAAATTAAAATAAATAAATAAAAACTGGTCACTTTGACATTTGCCTCCTTTTTTTTTTCTTTAAATTGTTATCTGAGCAAATTTTGACACTAGTCTGGTTTACCACATGTGGAGAAAAATATTTTTCTCTCTCTGCTCACACACTTAATGAATGCGAGAGTCAGTTTTGTATGGCTTTGCAGGGAGGCTAATTTGATAGGAATGTTAAAATAGTCTACCAGTTTTATTTTATGTGATCTGTTTTATTGGAGACTGGCATGTGCCAATACCACCT